GCCACGATGACGGTGAAGGAGGCGCTGGCAAGCTGGAAGGGCGAGGCAGTGAAGGCCGCCATGGAAGAAGAGATCCGCAGCCTCATCGGCATGGGCACTTGGGAGCTGGTCGAACGCCCACGCGGGGTGAACATCATGAAGAACCGGTGGGTGTTGACGACCAAGTACCGCATCGACGACACCGTCGAGCGCGAGAAGGCGAGGTTGGTCGTGAAGGGCTTCACGCAGGTGTACGGCGCCGACTACGACAAGACGTACTCGCCGGTGAGCAGCTACGTCACGCTGAGGATCTTCCTCAGCATTGTCGCCGTCCTCGACCTCCACTTGATGCAGCTTGACATGAAGAACGCCTTCCTGCAGAGCAAGCTCGACAGGGTGCTCTACATGTACCAGCCGGACTACTTCGACGATGGGACCGGCCGGGTGTGTAAGCTATTGAAGAGCCTCTACGGGCTGAAGCAGTCACCGTTGCTGTGGTACAGGGCTCTCGACGGTGTTCTGCTGGGCGCTGGCTGGAAGAAGAGCCAGGTCGACGAGGCGCTCTACTTCAAAGCCGCCGACGACGGAGTGACCTGCTGGGTGCTGGTCTACGTCGACGACCTGCTCGCCGCCAGCAGCAGCCCCGCGATGCTGAAGGAGCTGAAGGAGCTGCTGGAGGCCGCCTTCGAGCTGCGCGAGATCTCGCCGGTGCAGAAGTACCTCGGGCTGGAGATCGTACGCGACAGGCCGGCGAGGAAGCTGTGGCTGCACCAGCAGACCTACGCCGACAAGCTGCGCAGGCGCTTCATCGATGAGGAGCAGGGCGGTCGAGTCCCGAAGACGCCGATCTCGGTCGACGCCTACGCTGAGCTGATGTTCGACGACAAGGAGGCCTAGGAGCGCGATGAGGAGGAATACCGGCAGAAGGTCGGCTCGCTGCAGTTCGCGGCGATGACGACGAGGCCGGACATCACGTTCGCCTGCAGCAAGCTGGGGAGCGGCCTCACGGTGAGGAGTGACCAGCATTGGCGTGAGGTCGACCGCTGCCTCGCCTACCTGCGACACCGCCCTGGAGTTTGGCGGTGGACCAGAGTCGCTGGAGCTGATCAGCTACGTGGACGCCGATGATGCGGGCGACAAGCAGAACCGGACGAGCACGGCCGGATACGTGTTCGTCTTCGGAGGGGTCGCGATCTCCTGGTCGAGCCAGCGCATCAAGTGCGCGACGCTCTCCTCGACCGAGTCAGAATATGTCGCGGCCACGGACGCCGGCAAGGAGGGGCGTCGACTGCGCTTCCTCCTAGCACAGTTCAAGCTGCTCGACGCTGGGAAGCCGCCCGTCCTCCGCGTGGACAACAAGTCGGCGATCACGGTCGCTGAGGGCTTGGGGCTGACGGGCAACCTCAAGCACATGGAGCGACACTACGCCTGGCTGCAGCACATGGTGAGGCGCGGGAAGTTCGTGCTGAAGTACATCCCGACCACCGAGCAGCCGGCGGATTTACTGACGAAGGCGCTGCATTTTCCGGCTTTCAACCGGTGCTCTGTTGCCATCGGCCAAGTTCGTCTGGCCGACGTCGGCGACGCCGACGATGAGGTGCAGCAGTAGGTGCCGTGCCCTTCTGCACGGCTGGTGCGGTGACGGCGTGTTGTGTGTGGGGTGCATGCCGAGAACGAGTTCTCCGTGGAGTACTGCCGTGTGGGCTGGAGGCCCAAGCGTGAGCGCAGCAGGGGAGTGTTAACGGGAATGGAGTGTTGGCCCCGCCCTCGCTTGGGCAACGCCGACGACTTGGTCGGATGTACGGGAGTGGCAGCCGACCGTTCACAGTGGGAGAGCTGCTCGACAGGCTTGGTCGAGCTGCAGGGGACCGCTGTGGTGTTGCTGTCGACCAGGGAGCTCGACAGCTGCAACTGACTGGTCTGGGCGACGGGTGGGCCGTCGACCAGGAGGGGCAGTTCGACCGGGAGGTCGACGGAGCAGTCCGTCGACCTGACAAGTGAGCAGCGGTCGACGAGGGGAGCTCGGCGACAACAGCTGACAGTTCTGGTCGACGGAAGGGGTCCGTCGACCAGGGGGTAGCTCGACGGGAGCTGTGGTCGACCAGAGGGACCCAGTGGTCGACCAGAAGCACTGGTGGTCGACCGGAGCACTTGGTGGTCGACCAGGTCGACCCGGTAACCTGTTCGACGAGTTCTGCGGAGGCACGCGAACGTCGTCGAGGTCGCGATGGCGAAGGCGACTTCGGACTGGTATCCCGAAGTCAATGTGGCTCGTCAGGCGCAGACAACAGCCGACAGATGCACAACGGTGCAAGTTGGGCCAATCGTCTGCGCGCACATGCGAGCGTGCGCACTGCTGTCTTCTACGGGGCAACGCTGGACAGCCGCTTTGCTGCAGCGTTGGCACGCCGTCGACCTGTAGTGTTGGCAGGTCGCCCTTCTGCAGTGCTGGCGTGGCTCCTCTACGCAATGCTGGCAGGCGGTCGACCAAGCTAAGTTGGCGGTCGACCAGGCTAGCTGTAGGGTTGCTAGGTGCCTGATGTAGTCAATTCTGTCATTGCTTGTTCAATCATTCTGGAATTCCAACTTTGCTAGTGAAACTCTTGCCAACTTCTCCTGTGAATGTGCAAGTGCTAAGGAACGCAAGCAAAGCTACGATCACTCCTAGTAGTTCGTGCCAACCCCGTAGTCTAGCTCACTACCGTTATAGAGTGACTCTTCGCACGCATCTCAATGCGTGTTACCACCCCTCATGCTCTTACTACCCCTCATGCTCCTCTCATTGCGTGCTACTACCGCCCTGGCTCATCTCAATGCGTGTCTCCACCCCTCAAGCTCATATTAATGCGTGTTACCACCCTTCTGCAGGCTCATCTCAATGCGTGTCTCCACCCCTCAAGCTCATATTAATGTGTGTTACCACCCTCCTGCAGGCTCATCTCAATGCGTGTTACCACCAATCTCACCCACATCCAGATTCGTGTCATCACCCCACAGGGGATGCCTTAAAGTGTGTTACTTGCCCTCAAGCTCATGTGAATGGGTGTTTCCACCCCTCTTGCTCACATCCAGATTCGTGCTACCACCCTTCATGCTAGTCTCAAAGCGTGATACCACCCGTCACTAACATCCTGATTTGTGGTACCTTCACTCCTTGCTTTTCGTATTTGGCAGATATGAGCTACTACAGCTGTCGCAGCTGCACTAAGAGATTGAAGACCTACAACGCTCTTGTCGCCCATGAGCAAATGCACCTCAACACCCCCGCTGACGATGCGTTCTTTGCATCTGCTGGTTCGTCGGCCACGATTCGTCGTGGGGTGCTTGTGCAGCCGCATGAACCCTCCATCCCAGTAGAAGCCCCATTGCTGCCCCCCGTTGAGGAAGTGGAGTTAGGGCATGAGAGCGATGAGGAGGAGGCGGGCAATGTGGAGGATGTAGTGTTCGTGGATGCGGAGGCATATTTTGGGCACGAAGAGACCGTTTCACCGCCGGCGTTTGATACAAAGTTTGAGACATTCAGATTCTTGTCCCAGTGTAATAGGGGAACCGGGATGAGGGGTCCTGATGTTGGTGCTTTTTTTAAGCTGGTGAAGCACCCGGATTTTGACGTCGCACAGTTAGAGCAGTGGAATGGGCAGCATGCAGTGGACAAGTATGCGTGCGAGCAATTTGGCATCGAGAAGATACAGTTTAAGACGGTGATAGTGCGAGTGCCTGGTTGGCACCGTACGTTCAAAGTGAAGTTTTTGGATCCGATAGAGGTAAATGTTAAAGATTTGCTATAGATGGTGGCTGTGTTTTGCTTTTTTGTACTATCAATATGGATTTATGATTTATGGGTATGATTTACAGGCTCTACGACGCATGTGGGCTGATCCACGCAACCAAAAGGGGTTCATTCATAAAGCTGCCCGCAAGATGGTGAATGGCAAACGTGTGTACGCTGGAACAGAAACTGCTGATTTCTGGATAAAGTCACAGGTGAATCCTTTGCATTGTATTTGTAGCATTCTATGTATATGCCTTGCACACTCAACATGTGCCATTTTTCCACTTGGCAGAAGGGACTTGGAGAGAAGGAATGTGTTTGCCCGATAATCCTATCCAGCGATGAGACACACCTCAGTGGCAACGAACGGTGCCGTGCCTGGCCATTGTACCTGTCATTCAGCAGCCTACCTTTGAGCGTGCGATGGAGTGAGCATGGGCATGCTCTTGTCGCTCTTCTACCGCTTCCAGACGTGACCTCTGAACAGAAAACCACTCTGTTCCAGAGATGTTGTGAGGCCGTACTGAAGTCTCTCGATGAAGCGTGCAAGACGTGAGTGTCTGCTTCCATTTTATTAACTGGCCTTTGTGAATTACGCACCCAAGGTCTAACCAACGGGTTTAAATGTCTCCCGCAGGTCAATTACGCTGACTGATCCCTTTGGGGCGGTGTACACCGTATGGCCGAAGCTGTTCACATACGTGGCAGATTTCCCTGAAACTTGCAGGGTGACCTGCACCAAGCAACAGAGTGCCAACAGGCCGTTCTCTATCTGTGAGGTGCACCATAAAAGCCTACATAACGTGGACCCTTCTAGTGTGGCAAAGATTTGCACGGTTGAGGATCAGAGGAAATATGCCGCCGACGAAAAACTGGCAAAGGAATACTCCACACACATGACGAAGGTGGGCGTGTTTTTGTAGTTTGGTGTATTTTAATCTAAACCATGCCATCCCATGCCCCCTCGTGTTTCTGCCTTTCTTTTATAACTGCCCTCCCCTGCTATGCCATCCCCTCCAATGTTATGCCCTCTCCTGCAATAACCTCCGCTGCCCTCCGTGCTCTACCCTCCCTTATCCTGACCTCCTGTACTATGCCCTCCCTGGAAAAGCCCTTCCTTGCCTTGCCCCCGTGCTATGCCATCATGTGCTATGCCATCATGTGCTATGCCATCATGTGCTATGCCTTCGTGTGATATGCCCTCATGTGCTATGCCATCATGTGATATGCCATCATGTGCTATGCCATCATGTCCTCCTTGCCATCGTGTGCTATGCCATCATGTGCTACGCCATCATGTGCTATGCCATCATGTGCTATTCCATCATGTGATATGCCATCATGTGCTATGCCATCATGTGATATGCCATCATGTGCTATGCCATCATGTGATATGCCATCATGTGCTATGCCATCATGTGTTCTGCCATCATGTGCTATGCCATCATGTGCTATGCCATCATGTGCTATGCCATCATGTGTTCTGCCATCATGTGCTATGCCATCATGTGCTATGCCATCATGTGCTAGTCCATCATTTGCTATGCCATCATGTGCTATGCCATCATGTGATATGCCATCACGTGCTATGCCATCATGTGATATGCCATCATGTGCTACGCCATCATGTGTTATGCCATCATGTGCTATGCCCCCATGTGCTATGCCCCCCTGTGCTATGCCCCCCTGTGCTCTGCCCCCCTGTGCTCTTCCCCCCTGTGCTCTGCCCCCCTGTGCTCTGCCCCCCTGTGCTCTGCCCCCCTGTGCTATGCCATCATGTGCTATGCCATCATGTGCTTAGGATGTACGGTATCTGCGCATAGACCATGTCTCCAACCCATAATGCGCCTCGGGACGTGCTATGCCATCATGTGATATGCCATCATGTGCTATGCCATCATGTGTTATGCCATCATGTGCTGCTCTGCCCCCCTGTGCTCTGCCCCCCTGTGCTCTGCCCCCTTGTGCTCTGCCCCCCTGTGCTCTGCCCCCCTGTGCTATGCCATCATGTGCTATGCCATCATGTGCTTAGGATGTGCGGTATCTGCGCATAGACCATGTCTCCAACCCATAATGCGCCTCGGGACGTGCTATGCCATCATGTGATATGCCATCATGTGCTATGCCATCATGTGTTATGCCATCATGTGCTATGCCCCCATGTGCTATGCCCCCCTGTTCTATGCCCCCCTGTGCTCTGCCCCCCTGTGCTCTGCCCCCCTGTGCTCTGCCCCCCTGTGCTATGCCATCATGTGCTTAGGATGTGCATTATCTGCGCCAAGACCATGTCTCCAACCCATAATGAAACGTTTCATACCGGCATTATCCGTAGCCGATAACATCGTTTGCGTTCACGTTTTAAATGCAGTGTTTCATATGGACTTTTGGAAGAGCGGAGGATCGGGCGCAAGAGTGGGGCAACCCATACCTCATCATCAAGCCAGATATCTTACATGTCATTTTGATCGGCATATTGCTGTACATTTTGGAGTCGATCGTTCTCGCGAACAAATGTGGAAAACAGGCAAACAAGTAAGTGCAATTTTGGAAGGCATTGAATTGCAATCTTGGACTTTTCTTATCGCAAATCGACTATACTTGGTTGTGTTTATTTGCAGGCGACACCGAGATTCGTACAAGGACATCCTTCTAGCGGGTGTGAAAAGTCCGCCACCAGGGAACTACTTCTCTCTGGGTGCCAATTACTCGGCTGCAGAGCATGCAGCGATGATGAAGGTATGTTGGCCAATCATCTCAAGGCAAAACGCAAAAATCCAGGATAAAATGGTGTACGACGCGAGAGAGGATAAATGAGCAATGAGGTCATGAGAGATGGGGTTTTTTTAATAAGAGCGGATGGGGGAGGAAGCATGCTGGTGCTTAGCCGAGATATGATGATATTATAAGCATGTTAGGGGCTGAAATAACATTGGAGGGTCCAAGGGTGAGAGTTGGGGGTGGGAAGGGGGAGAGGGAGAGTGATGGCTTGGTATGCCATGTATGGGGTATGCTTGTTATTTGAGGGATATTAATGGGTTTGTATGTGAGGTAAGGAACGTGCTTGAAACCTGTGGGAGAGTAGTGGGTTGGTATGAGACGTATGGGACATGCTTGTTACCTGAGGGAGAGTAAAGGGTTTGTATGTGAGGTAGGGAACGTGCTTGTAACCTGAGGGAGATTAGTGTCTTGGTATGAGAGGTATGGTATATGCTTGTAATCTGAGGGAGAGAAAAGGGTATGGATATGAGGTAGGGAACATGGTTCTAACCAGAGAGAGAATAATGGTATGGGATTTGCTTGTTACCTGAGGGAATTGGAGAGGGTTTGTATATGAGGTAGGGAACATGCTTCTAACCTGAGGGAGATAAATGGCTTGGTATGATAGGTATGGGAGTTGCTTGTTGCCTGAGGGAAAGTTGAGGTGATGCATGTGAGGTAGAGGATATGCTTGTTACCTGAGGGAGAGTAAAGGGTTTATATATGAGGTAGGGAACATGCTTCTAAACTGAGGGAGATTAATGGCTTGGTATGAGAGGTATGGGAGTTGCTTGTTGCCTGTGGGAAAGTTATCGTGATGCATGTGGGGTAGAAGATATGCTTGTTACCTGAGGGAGAGTAGTGGCCTGGTTTGTGGGGTAGAGGATATTATTGTAACCTGAGAGACTGTGATGGCTTGGTATGTGAGGTAGGGGATATTCTTGTTACACGAGGGAGAGTATTGGGTTGCTATGTGAGGTATGGGACATGCTTGTTACCTGAGGGATAGTAAAGGGATTGTATATGAGGTAGGGAACATGCTTGTAGCATCAGGGAGAGTAGTGGCTTGGTATGCGAGGTATGAGATATGCATGTTATTTGCGGGTATAGAAAGGGGTCTGGATATGAGGTCGGGAACATGCTTCTAACCGGTGGGAGAGTAATGGCTTGGTATGAGAGGTATGGGATTTGCTTGTTACCTGAGGGAGAGTAAAGGGTTTATATATGAGGTAGGGAACATGCTTCTAAGCTGAGGGAGATTAATGGCTTGGTATGAGAGGTATGGGAGTTGCTTGTTGCCTGTGGGAAAGTTATCGTGATGCATGTGGGGTAGAAGATATGCTTGTTACCTGAGGGATAGTAGAGGCCTGGTTTGTGGGGTAGAGGATATTATTGTAACCTGAGAGACTGTGATGGCTTGGTATGTGAGGTAGGGGATATTCTTGTTACCTGAGGGAGAGTAGTGGGGTGGTAAGAGAGGTATTAGACATGCTTGTTACCTGAGGGAGAGTAAAGGGTTTGTATATGAGGTAGGGAACATGCTTGTAACCTGAGGGGTACCAAGGTGGATTGGTATGCGAGGTATGAGATATGCATGTTACTTGAGGGAGATTTATGGCATGGTATGTGAGGTAGGGGATATGCTCGTTACCTGAGGAGTAGTGGACTGGTATGTGAGGTCGGGGCAATGCTAGGAACCGCTGGGGGGAGAGAAGAGGGTAGATAAGTATGGAGAGTATATTATTGCGTCGGGTGGCTAGTGCTGTAGCATGTGATCTAAGCAATTTTAATGTGAGGGAGAATGGAGGTATATTAGGTGTACTAGGGGGAACTCATTTTAAGGGCGAAAGAAACACCATGGGGCGAGGGTGAGCGAGTGTAAGGTAGGTTGTGAGGGATGAAGTATGATGGGGGGATTGGATTATTGGATTAATTGCCTATTCTTGATTGGGCGCATGGAGGGAGTGTGAGGGGTAGTGAATTAGGAGCGAGAGTGTAGAGGTTGTTACGCCTTTGTAATGCACTTTCTACGAATGTAGCTTCATACCTTCCCCCCCTCCCCCAACTCCCCCCTTCCCTCCCCCTCCCCCTCCCCCTCCCCCTCTCCCTCCCCCCCCCTTCCCCCCTGTAGATGTGTTCCCCTCCCTCCTATTCCTCCTCCCCCCGCTCTCATACAGCATGTTAAATGATTGATATTACAATCTGCTGGTATCATGCTGCAGGTTGCCATGGTTTTATTGGAGGGCCTAATCACGGACGCCCACATGTATGTCCTGCGCAAGTTTGTCGAATGGTTCGACAAATATTTCATAGCATCATCATACACGAAAGCCATGCTGGATGAGTACGTCGAGGCTACCCAAGAGTACGTATTCTAACCACAAGTATGCAACAAAAGCGTAGTGCATACATGGATTTCCATGATCGCTTTCTTCTGAACTAGTTTCTTTTTCATTACCCCCTCCATACACTCCAGATTGGTTCGCCTATTGCAATCGCAAGTAAAACGCAATGGCGACGGATGGGACCTGGTGAAAACCCATCTGCTCACCCATTTTCCAGATGCTATTCGGCTTGGTGGTGCTCCAGGCGAGTACTGCACAAGCTTGTATGAGCATGCACACACAACAACATGCAAACAACCTTTCCGTGGTTCCAACTACCGCCAGTACGATGAAACAATCTTGCGCAGTATCCGACTGAGATACGTGCTGAGCACACGAGATTCGGCTCTTGCTAGGCCGGCATCTTACGATACCGCTCTCCAAAAGGTGAGTCCATAAGCCCTTCGTGTTCCCTTATTCCAAACCCGTATAGTGCTGTTCCCAATGCAATGTGCTCGTGTTCGCTGACCAAAGGCATCGTACATTCGTGTTGGTTATATTACAACGTTAACTCATTTTTGTGTGTCCAAAGGCGAACCGTAATCATTCCAGTGTGCTCACGAGCACGTACAACACCGTCTGCATGCCATTTGGAGACCCATCCAAGAAGGGGACAGCGCTGTGGAGGAGTTATGAGCAGTGTCACCCAGAGGGTATGCAGTATCTGCAATCATGTCTTGCCGAGTTGGGCCTTTCGGTGCAAGCTGTACATGTAAGTCGCTAAAACCAAAGGCCGATAACCCTTGTTCGCTGATTGTCTATTTGTTCCTCTTAGAAATCAAGACATTTTTACAAGTTTCCATGTTCTTCTGTACTCTTAACAAATGTTCCACCCTAAACCATTAACCCATGCAGGTCCACACCGCTCTCGCCATCCCTTCGAGCGGAGAGCGTGAGGCACACTACGTACGCGCCACTCCGAGATTTCATGGGGCACCTGCTTTCTCCCGTGTTGCTATACTGCAGACCATTGCTGGACCAACCGGCGAGCCTGCAAACATCACATCATTTGCAGATTTGCTAATGCTATTCCATGTTGACGTTCGACGTGCCAGCGGTGAACCCCAAGCATTCGCTTTTGTGCGAATGTATGAGACCGGTGAGGTGGACGAGAAGACATCATGTGTCAAGCTATCTGACAGAGCCGTGCATCTGCGGTATTACCTCATTGACACCCGATCTATATTGCGATCTGTCCATCTTGTTAGGTCCTATCATGACCGTTCTATTCTCTTCTTGAACCGTTTTGTCGCAGCTTAAACCCTTGCGGTGCACTGGATGTGCAATATTTAGCAGACCACCATTGTTGGATATATATTTATATTTTAAAAGCAAATGTTCCTATTGTTAGGAGCTGTAAGGAATTTTCTCGACATTCCTTAGCGCATCCTGCAACATCTCGTACAGCAGCAGCCGTTGTTCGCCCGTTACTGTTAACGGAGCTTCGCCGACTTCGCGCGCACTGTTTCACCAAACCTCGCACTGCTGGCCCGGCCGTGTCGGCCTACGCTTCGGGACTAGCCCGAACCTCACTGCCAGCGTAGCACTAGCTAGCTCGCACGCACCGCGTTACCGTTTGCATGTTTCGCGTATAAATGTTCGCTCATGCCTTCGCTCACATT